CCCCAACACCTCCCCTTCCGACGCCTCCCCCTTCTCCTTCCCCTGCATTGCCGACTCCCCCTCCTCCACGGCCCCCCCCTCCCCCTGCCTCTCCCCCCACCCCTCCTCGTGCCCCGCGCCCACACCCACGCCATGGGGCAGCCCGCCCCGTCCGCCTTCCAGCCCCTTCACGCGCCCAGCTACCAGCCCAGCGACCAGCCCAGGTACGGGCCCAGTGGTGCAGGGGAGCACCGCAGGCAGCACGGGGAGCGGATGCAGCAGAGGGAGAGCGGCAGGGAGCAGGCGCCGCACTTCCACCAGCAGCAGCACAGAGCGGGCAGCGAGCAGCAGGCATCAGACGCTGCCAGCGGGTGTCCTGCCCCCGCCCACCGCTGCTCTGAGCTCCACCGCCCCTCACCTCCGCCCCCCCAGCTGTGCACGCCATATGACGACAGGGCGCCCGGCTCCTTCTGGTCCCTGGCTGCTGGCGGTGCGGTGCAGTGCGGTGGAAAGGATTGGAGCGAGGTGGAGAGCAGCGGCAGCAGCAGCACTGTGCAGGGGGGAGGAGGGAGAGTGGGCGGTGGCGGATGGGGCAGTGAGGGTGCCGGGGGAGGGTACGGGGGAGGGCAGGGGGGAGGGTATGGGGGAGGGCAGGGGGGAGGGTATGGGGGAGGGCAGGGGGGAGGGCGTTTGGGGGGGGTTGGGAAGCGGACGGGGGAAGGCAGCAGCAGCAGCAGCAGCGGAGGGGGTTGATGGGCATGCTGTGGCGCAGTGGCAGTGGCAGCAGGGGCAGGGCCAAGGTGGGTATGGGCACGGCAGGGAAGGGCACGGGCACGGGCACGGGCACGGGCATGGGTGCGCCGAGGGGCATTCCTCGCTCGCTCAGTGACTCGAGGCGAAGCACCAGAGTGGCGCCCTTTGTTACCGGCAGTGGCAATGGCGGTGCTGGCAGCAGCATTGGCGGCGGAGGAGGGAGCTTATGGGCGCCAGCATTGGCACACGGGCAGCAGGGGGGCAGGGAGGAGCGGGCAGAGGAGAGGAGCGAGGGGTGGGGATCGAGGGCAGAGGGGTGGGGGAATGAGCAGCAGCAGGGCGAGTCGGGGAGCGGGGGCAGCAAGAGGGGGCTGGGGTTGGGCACGCTCAGACGGCTCATGTCTAGAGGGTAGCGGGCGGGGAAGATGGTAGAGGGGCGTGAGGAGGGTCAATCTGTGTCATCGCATGCTGCCATTCACGGGGAATGACGGGTGAATGCCGCTGTGCTGTGCAAGACAGTAGAGCGAAAGGCAACAAGGCATGTTGCCACGGTGTCTGGCTCCTAGTGTTATCAACGCATTATGCTTTCCTGTTCGTGCCGGGATGTTGCCCAAGTGATTGCAATCTGTTGCATTGCAAAATACTAATGACCTGCAAATTTTATACCCAAAGCACATTTCGAATGCCATTGCCATTAGCTTTACATGCATCCTGTCATGTCCCCAAAGCAGCATAGAGGCAGCCAGTGCTAGCGGCAGTGCAGTGCACTTGGCTCTGTGCAGCGGGACCCGGTGCAGCGGGTGGAAACAGTGCCTTCCCTTCCCTCCATGCCATGGTGCTTGGAGAAACTCCAATGCGATACCTCTAAAGAAGCGTGCATGCGTGCAAGTGCCCTATCAGCATGCTCTGCGGACCACTGCTGCCCCCTCAACTGGACTCACTGCCCCCACCCACCGCCCCCTCTCCACCGTTGCCTGGTGGCTTGCGCGAGTCGAGGAAGAGCGTGACGGGGCCGCTGTTGGCGATGTGCACCTGCCGGACCAGGAGGGCGCCACGCACACGAGGGGTGAGGTCATCACGATGCCAGCGTAGTGAGGCATAAGGCGTACCAGATATGCCCTTTTCAACCCAGAATTGCATCACGCCGTGCTTCCCCATGAAACGAGCAAGCGGTGCTAATGAGGGCCAACTTAGCGCAGCACATCCCCTGTCCCCTCGTGCCCTCCTTCTCACCTCCCCTAATTCCCCCCCGCTCCCCCTCACCTCCATCATGGCGCCGAAGATGCCGTCTGCACCGCACAGGCGAGGCGTGCACGCACGCAGGCACGGGCACGACGGGATTAGGGGGGGAGAGATCAGACGGTCAGAAGCAGGGAGATTGAGCATGCAGCCATTTGGAGATGTGAAGACAGAGTGGGGGGCGAGTACTGGGTGAACCGGAGGGACATGGCCTCTAAACCAGGAGCGCACCCCCCTCACAGCCTGCCAGGCATGTAGCAGCGCACCTTTGACGCGCTCCGGGCGGTAAGCGTGCTGCACTCGCTGCACAAACGCCTCATAGAAGGGGCGCGCCTCCTGGGGCGGCATGGCGACGTGGAAGTCGAGCTTATTGCCCTTGGGCTGGCCGTACAGCGTGAACTGACTCACTGCGGTGCACAGGAAGGCATGCACGAGAAAGCAAGGGTGCGGCGGCAGGCAAGCAGCGAGCAGACACAAGGCGGCGCAGTGGAGCACACAGCACAGGGAGCGCGCATGAAAGGATGGCCGGCCATTATGCACGGCCAGGTGGCAAAAGGTGGTGGCCATGCCGTGGTGCTGGGGTGAGGGGGTGAGGGGGTGAGGGGGTGAGGGGGTGAGGGGGGGACGCAGAGAAGGTGGACGACGCCAGGTGGAGGGTGCATGGTGCATGGTGGAAGGGTGCATGGTGGAAGGGTGCATGGTGGAAGGGTGCATGGTGGAAGGGTGCATGGTGGAAGGGTGCATGGTGGAAGGGTGCATGGTGGAAGGGCGAATGGTGGAAGGTGCATGGTGCATGGTGGAAGGGTGCAAGGTGGAAGGGTGCAAGGTGGAAGGGTGCATGGTGGAAGGGCGAATGGTGGAAGGTGCATGGTGCATGGTGGAAGGGTGCATGGTGGAAGGGTGCATGGTGGAAGGGTGAATGGTGGAAGGGTGCATGGTGGAAGGGTGAATGGTGGAAGGGCACATGTGCGGGTGGGGGATGAAGGGATCGCACCTAGCAGCACCTCATAGCCTTTTTGCGACACCTGCAGCCACACAGAGTTAGGCCCAGGCACAGGCACAGGCAGACAGAAGGAGAGGTGCATGCATGTGAACGACATGGCATGCCTGAGAGTGGTGCTCATGCCGCCACAACATAGCCGTGAGTAAAGCTTCATGCACCACGTGCAACGCCCGCCATGCACACACCACGTTCGCTTCTTACACGTGCATGCAGCCCCACATGCACACTCCCACCACCGATCCACTCACTCACACTCTGGTCCCACGCCCTGCCAGTCTTCTCGTTGGGCCACATGCGCAGATTCAGGATCTTGCGACACCTGCCATGCCATGCCATGCCATGCCAATCAACAGATGTACCATGCCATGCCATGTGTCATGGCGTGGAGGTCATGCATGATTGGAACGAGGGAAGCAGTGAGTAGAGCAGGCGCCGCCATCGCCATGCCAATGCACACATGCACACATGCACACATGCACACATGCACACATGCACACATGCACACATGCACCCATGCACACATGCACCCATGCACACATGCACCCATGCACACATGCACACATGCACACATGCACCCATGCACACATGCACACATGCACCCATGCACACATGCACACATGCACACATGCACCCATGCACCCATGCACACATGCACCCATGCACACATGCACCCATGCACACATGCACCCATGCACACATGCACCCATGCACACATGCACCCATGCACACATGCACCCATGCACACATGCACCCATGCACCCATGCACCCATGCACACATGCACCCATGCACCCATGCACACATGCACACATGCACCCATGCACCCATGCACACATGCACCCATGCACACATGCACACATGCACCCATGCACACATGCACACATGCACCCATGCACACATGCACACATGCACCCATGCACCCATGCACACATGCACCCATGCACACATGCACCCATGCACACATGCACCCATGCACACATGCACCCATGCACACATGCACCCATGCACACATGCACCCATGCACACATGCACCCATGCACACATGCACCCATGCACCCATGCACCCATGCACACATGCACCCATGCACACATGCACCCATGCACCCATGCACCCATGCACCCATGCACACATGCACCCATGCACACATGCACCCATGCACACATGCACACGTGCACCCATGCACACGTGCACCCATGCACACGTGCACCCATGCACACGTGCACCCATGCACACATGCACCCATGCACACATGCACCCATGCACACATGCACCCATGCACCCCGCACATGTTGATTTCAGAACATCACTGCACATGGGTGCATGGGTCCCCCCTCCCCTCACATGTAGTCGCAGTCCTGCGCGCCGTCCCCCGCCATCACCCCCACCAGCACGCACAGCCCCGCGCCTATCTCCGCCACCACGCGCCCCTCCACCTGCGCGCGCCGCCATGGGGGGAAGGAGGGGGGAAGGGGTGGCGCGGAAGGATCAGGGGAGCGGGGGTTGGCGGAGAGGGGTCGAAGAAAAGGTGGGGGGAAGAGAGGGTGCGATAGACAAGGACGCGGGGAAGGGGAAGCGGGGGGTCGGAGCGCTGGAAGGGGAGAAGCGAGGCAGCGGAGGGGGGGAGGGGACGTGAGGCGGGCGTGGCGGGAGCGGGCGCACCTCGACGCGCGCAGACGACACGCGCTGAAAAACTGCGCGCATGGCGCCCCGCCCGACGCACGCCGCTTCCTGGAAGGGGCGGCGCGACTGACTCGGCACGGGGCAGCGCGGGCTGCTGGCCTTGCCCGGAGCACTGGCGCGGCGGGCAGCAGCGTACAGTGGCAGGTGCGGGGCCCGTGCTCCTCTGCTCTGCACCACCCCGACCCTCTCTGCGCCCTCCCTGCACTCCTAGCACCGTCCACCTCCCATCGGCGCAAGGTGAAGACGCAGATCACAGTTGCACCGCCGACTACGGCTGGCGCTTGGTGCTGGGCATTCGTGATGGGGCTGCTTCGCTGTGTGCTGCCTCAATCAGAGTCATGGTTAGCGACAAAATCAACAATAGATGTACTGAACTTGTAAATTTACAGAATACAATGTGGTATAAGAACACAAACCAGATTCTTCTCTGGGCCGTAAGAGCAAATAACATAACCACTTTCTTCCAAGCAATAATCATTGTGGCAAGGCGGGTGCATCATTGCTTGTACGGGCCGGTGTAGCGCACCCAGAAGGCAGAGCCCCCTCCCCTCCCCCTGGCAGCCGCCACTTTGTCGTCCACATAGAACCACGTGAAGAAGGGGTCCTTGGCGCCCGCCTTGCCCTCGCCCGGCACGCGCCCCTTGTCCTCCTCCTTGCCTATCGCCCACTGCCACATGGCGGGGGGGGGGGAGGGGGGAAGGGGGGAAGGGGTGGGGTTAGGGAATGCAAGGGCAGCAGGCACAGAGCGAGGTGAGGGCGCGGTCGGCGCAGGCAGTGGCGCGGCAGAACGAGAAGCGCAGCAGGCCCTGGCGAGGCTGACAGCATGGCAGGCCCATGCAGACGCCCATGCAGACACCCAGGCAGACGCCCAGGCAGACGCCCATGCAGACGCCCAGGCAGACGCCCATGCAGACGCCCATGCAGACGCCCATGCAGACGCCCACGCAGACGCCCATGCAGACGCCCATGCAGACGCCCATGCAGACGCCCACGCAGACGCCCATGCAGATGCCCACGCAGACGCCCACGCAGACACCCACGCAGACATGGGCGACGGGCATCATGGCTCACGTCAATGGGCTGCAGGCTGACCTGGATGGGCGGCAGGGGCCCGAGTTTGAGTGAGAGCGTGTGGAAGGTGAAGGCGAGGCGGCGGTTGGTGAAGCCCATGGGGCCGCGGAACGTCAGGTGCCCCACCGGCCCCAGGAACACCCCGTTCTCTATCTCCATCGCCTGGGGGGGGGGAGGGGGGGGGGAAGAGATGGTGCAGGCAGGAGAGGGAGCAATGACACTGTGGCAGCGATGGCAGGCGCAGAGGGCAAAGGAGATGAAGGCATGAAGGCATGAAGGCATGAAGGCATGAATGCATGAAGGCATGAAGGCATGGAGGCATGAAGGCATGAAGGCATGAAGGCATGAAGGCATGAAGGCATGAAGGCATGAAGGCATGAAGGCATGAAGGCATGAAGGCATGAAGGCATGAATGCATGAAGGCATGAAGGCATGAAGGCATGAAGGCATGAATGCATGAAGGCATGAAGGCATGAAGGCATGAAGGCATGAAGGCATGAAGGCATGAAGGCATGAAGGCATGAAGGCATGAAGGCATGAAGGCATGAATGCATGAAGGCATGAAGGCATGAAGGCATGAAGGCATGAATGCATGAAGGCATGAAGGCATGAAGGCATGAAGGCATGAAGGCATGAAGGCATGAAGGCATGAAGGCATGAAGGCATGAATGCATGAAGGCATGAAGGCATGAAGGCATGAAGGCATGCACGCAGAGTGATGAGGTGGCGTGGTGGCACACAGCAGCAGCATGCAGCAGCACGCAGCAGCCACAGGTGGGAGCATGAACGAGTGCCAGGTGCAGGCAGCCGCTGACAGCAGCACACCCCTGTGACTCACTTGCGCGTCGAAGCGCTGCACCGCAGCAATGGGGAAGTAGGAGCCCGACCCCTCGCCGCCCTTCATGGCCTTGCGCACCTGAGTGTCGGGCATGGCGCACGGCGCATGGGGCATGGAGGATGGGGCATGAGGCGCATGGGACATGGGGCATGGGGCATGGGGCATGGGTCATGGGGCATGGGACATGGGGTGGGGCATGGGGCATGGGGCATGGGGCATGGGTCATGGGGCATGGGGCATGGGGCATGGGGCATGGGGCATGGGGCATGGGGCATGGGGCATGGGACATGGGGTGGGGCATGGGGCATGGGGCATGGGGCATGGTTCATGGGGCATGGGGCATGGGGCATGGGGCATGTGGCATGGGGCATGGGGCATGGGGCATGGGGCATGGGGCATGGGGCACACGGCATGTGGAGTGGGAGGCATGCGAGCAGCATGTGGAGGGCATGGAGCGCCACCATGCGCCACCATGCGCCACCATGCGCCACCATGCGCCACCATGCGCCACCATGCGCCCACGCCACTCACCTCGCCGCTGCCAGCGGTGAACACGAGCTGCCACATGCGTCCAGGCGACGCCGCCCCTCCCAGCGCCGCCAGCCACTCCTTGCTCTCCTCCGCGCCCACCTTGCGCGTCTCCAGCCGCCGCAGCGCCGCGAACACCGCCTCGCCCTTCACCTGCTTGCTGCGCGCCGCCTCCGCCAGCACCGCCACCGCCGCCGCCACCTCCGCCTCCTCCGTGCCCGCGGAGGCTGGCGCACGGGAGGGCAGTTGGGGGATGGTAGGTTGGACAAGGCAATGTGCGGATATGGGGCGACGGCAGACGCATGCGGGCACGGACAGAGCTAACGAACGATACCAACCAAGCCCATGAGAATCTAACGAGCGTGCCAAGCCCGCCGGACGCACCAGTAACGACTCCCCATCGTCGCGCGTTTCTCGCTGCCGGCGCCCTAAAAGCAGCAGTGCTCACAGCGGAGAGCCGGCCTACGGCAGCACCGCGTGGGACGAGCGCACAGCGCGCCGATAGCGACAGGGATAGCGACGCGGGCGCCCCGAGAAAGGGCGCTGGACGGCAAAGAGAGAGCGGCTGAGCCATGGCGCCTGCTGTGGACGCGTGGCACGGTGGAGCGACAACACGTGGCTGCTGCTGGCTGGTTGGCGCCTAAGGAGTGGGGCGAGAAGGTGCTAGTGCGTGGACTGCGACATTAGGCGCGGGAGGCAGGATGGCCCCACAGCTCACGAGCGTATGACGAGGACAGCCAACTAAGCCTCGTATACAGACAAAATACAGTAATTATGCTACTTATTTCCCAATTTATTTCCCAATTTATTTACAAAGAAACCCAACATATTCATTCAACGCATCCTCACCACGCCACGCCCGCTCTCCTCACAGCTTGCGAGGCTTCTTGCGCCTCAAGGGGGCGGCCAACAGAAGCCCAATGCCGACAGTGTTGGCGCCTGTGTCAACTGGCAATGCAGCATGTGTGGGGTGAGGCTTCTCTCCAAGCACAGGGGGTGTGGGTGTCATCCCACCATCTATACGTCTGACCTCTTCCTCCGCATCCACCCTTTCTCTCCCTCCTGCTACCTCCTCATTTGACTTGCCCATGCATGCGTTTGTCTTGCCTTCTTCCCCCATCTCTCTGCAAACACCCCAATCATTTGCAAGTCCCGTGCGTGCTGTCCTGCCCCCCAAGTGCTCCATCCCAGACTGCCGCTCCTCCTCTTCGCCGCCTTCCCTCAGATCCTCTGCCGCCTCGCCTCCCTCCCCCTCACAGAACCCCCCGCCATACATGAGCGCGTGCGCAGAGCTACATGCTGCTGCCTCCTGCCGTCCACCCACGGCTGCCGTGTCACCCGCACTCGTGCCGGACATGTGAGCTGCTGCAGACATGGGGGTGCGCGTTGCGAGACACGGGGGCGTTGCCCTTTCTTGGGGCACCCCGGGAGCATGCTTGGGCCCCTTGTGCATGCCATCCTGCTGCCCCTCCGCCCCGCTGGAGTGTCGCTGCACCACCCACATGCCTGCCTCCCTCTCATCCCCTTCACCTGCCACTCCTGCTGCCTGCCCCTCCCCTCCATCTGCACGCGCACCTGACATCCCCCCTCCTCTGCCCACTGTCTCCTGCGCCCCTCTGTGTGCCATTGGTTGCTGCTGCATGCGCGCTGTGGGCGGAGAGTGCAGGGCAGCAGAGGACGCAGGGAGTGCAATGGCCAGCAGGTCACTGGGATCAAAGGCAGCATCATCGCCATCAGAATCACTCCCACTGCTGCTCGTGTCCGAGTCACTCAACACGACCCCGCCACCAGCACAGCCAGCAGGGGACGCTGCAAGCTGCAGTTTGGGTCGCTTGGCCTCACGGCCGGGCTGCACCCTCACCCTCACACCCACGCCACCATCCACATTCCCCGCATCCTGCCGCTGTGCCACGCCATCGCCATGCCCGCCATGACTGTGATCCTCCTGCCATTCACCCGACGATGCCGACTCACCGACTGCCTTCTCCACCTCAGCCACCTTCCTCCTACCCCCACGCCCTCCCCTTCTTCCCCCTCCCCTCCCCCTCCCTCTCCCTTTCCCCCTCTTCCCCTTTTCTCACCACCCACAGCAGCAGCAGCCAGCCCCTCAGCTGCCCTCTTCCCCTTCCCACGCCTCGTGCCATTCGCCCCACCACCACCAACTGCCGTGCCACACTGCCTCCCGCCACCATCGCCACCACCACCGGCAGCAGCAGCAGTGTTGGCATGTGCGGGAGCAACAGGGGCAGCGTCCTGCGCATCATCTTCGGCCGCGCTGACCCCGCAGGGCGGCAGCATGAGGTGGCGGGCGGCGCTGCCAGCGATGCCGGTGACGGCGCGCTGCACGCGGCGCGACCTGATCTTGGCAAAGCGCTGGTTGAACGAGTAGAAGGCTTCCAGCCGCTGCTGCGTCTGGGAGGGGAGGAAGGTGGGGTTGGGGGGGTGCCAGACGATGAGGGCTGCGCGCAGCACATGGGTGAGCGGATGAGAATGTGGGGGACGAGATGGGGAGGGCGCGATGACTGGAGCACGTGACCTTGGTACAGTTGACACAGCGGGCACAGCATGCAGTACGGCATGGGTAGCAGGCAATCCTCGGTGCAGCATGCAGTGCAGTGCAGTGCACACACACCTGGCGCGAGTTGAATGCCTTCACCACTGGCAGCAGCAGCGCATCCGCCTTGTCTGGCGCCATGCCCAGCTTCGCCACACACAGGCTGCCACGTGGCACGCAACGGAGGAGGGGCGGAGCGAGCACGAAGGAATGATAGGGGGGGCATGAGAGAGCGCCGAGGGAGAGGCAGGCTGTGAATGGAAGTGACAAAATGCGCAGGGAGGGTGGGGGCAACCTACTAGGGGAAGGGTGGTAGCAGAGGGAAGGGTGCCGTGGGGAAGGGTTGACAGTGAGAGGGCGGGGGCCACCTACTTGCGCAGGGCCGGGAGGTCCGGTGCGTCCCAGGAGAGGGAGGCGGTGCTGCGGTCCACATGCGGGGCGTTGAAGGCCGCCGCCACCGCCGCACTGGGGAAGCTCTCCGGCACCACCCACTGGCGCCGCACCGCGGCCTGTAGGGGCGTGGTGGGGTGGCATCACATGAGGTGTGGTGGGAGGCATGGCGTGATGATGCAGGGGAATGCAAGGGAACACACAACATGCATGAACGTGCCGCTACACGCCACATGTAACGCGAATGCATGCAGCAAAGCCAACGTCAAACGTAAAGAGAAGCTACAAGTGCACGTCAAACGAAGCACATCTGGCTTGCACACTCACATGCGTTGCTTCGAACTCTCTCCTGCGTGCATCAGCCAACTCCCTCTTTGACGCCCGACCCTCCTCTGATCCTCTCTTGCCCTTCTCCTCTCCTTTCTCCCTGCCCTTCTCTGCCTCTCTCCCCCAATTCCCTAGACTTCCTACGCCTTCATCCTTCTTCCCACTGCCCGCCCTTTCTCCCCTCTCCTCCTCCTCCTCCTCGTCCGAGCTCTCATCCTCCCACCACCCGTCATCCTTTCCCCATCCATCCGCCCCTGCCCCTCCATCGCCCCCCGCCGCACCCCCAGTGCGGGCGGGAAGCAGGCGGGCAAGGGCAGCGGCGTGGGGGGCGTCGAGCCACTGCCTGAAGCGCGCCAAGCCGCGGGCGCCGGGGAAGGCATGGACCACCTCGATGGCGTTCACCACGCCGATGCCACTGTGGCGCCATGCACACGCCATGCACACGCCATGCACATGCCATGCACATGCCATGCACGTGAGAGCATGAAATCACAGGAGCACACAAGCGGGGAGGGACAGAATGGTTTAGTCGGATGGTTTTGGCGAATGCTTTGGCGAATGGATTTGGCGAAAGCTTTGGCGAAAAGGTTTTGGCGAATGGTTTTGGCGAATGGATTTGGCGAAAGGTTTTGGCGAAAGTTTTGGAGAATGGTTTTGGCGAATGGTTGTGACGAATGGTGTTGGCGAATGGTTTTGGCGAAAGATTTTGGCAAATGGTTTTGGCGAAAGATTTTGGCAAATGGTTTTGGCGAATGGTTTTGGCAAATGGTTTTGGCAAATGGTTTTGGCGAATGGTTTTCGCGAATGCATTTCGCGAATGGTTTTGGCAAATGGAATTGGTGAATGGATTTGGCGAATGGTTTTGGTGAAGGGTTTTGGCGAAAGGTTTTGGCGAACGGTTTTGGCGAATGGTTTTGGCAAATGGAATTGGCGAATGGATTTGGCAAATGGTTTTGGCGAAGGGTTTTGGTGAAAGGTTTTGACGAATGGATTTGGCGAATGCTTTTGGCAAAAGGTTTGGCAAATGATTTTGGCGAATGGATTTGGCGAAAGGTTTTGGCGAAAAGTTTTGGCGAATGGTTTTGGCGAATGCTTGTGACGAATGGTTTTGGCGAATGGTTTTGGCGAAAGATTTTGGCGAATGGTTTTGACGAATGGTTTTGGCGAATGGTTTTGGCAAATGGTTTTGGCAAATAGTTTTGGCGAATGGTTTTGGCGAATGCATTTCGCAAATGGTTTTGGCAAATGGAATTGGTGAATGGATTTGGCGAATGGTTTTGGTGAAGGGTTTTGGCGAAGGGTTTTGGCAAAAGGTTTTGGCGAACGGTTTTGGCGAATGGTTTTGGCAAATGGTTTTGGCAAATGGAATTGGCGAATGGATTTGGCAAATGGTTTTGGCGAAGGGTTTTGGAGAAGGGTTCTGGCGAATGGTTTTGGCGAATGGATTTGGCAAATGGTTTTGGCGAATGGTTTTGGGAGTGGTGTTGGCGAATGGATTTGGCGAAAGATTTTGGCGAATGATTTTGGCAAATGGTTGTGCCGAATGGTTTTTGCGAATGGTTTTGGCAAAAGATTTTGGCGAATGGTTTTGGCGAAGGGTTTTGGCCAAAGGTTTTGGCGAAATGTTTTGGCGAAAGATTTTGGCGAATGGTTTTGGCGAATGATTTTGGCGAATGGTTTTGGCGAATGGATTTGGCGAATGCCCCAATATGAGGCGATTCACCCTAGGAAACGACAACTCGCTTTAGGAAGAGGTGATATGCCCTAGGAAGGGGCGCTTGGATTAGGGATGGACGAGTAGCCTTAGGTTGGAAGTGATGAACCATCGTAGAAAGTGGTGCCCCCCCGCATGACAGCACTCTCCCCACTGAGCTGTTGCTGCATGAAAACACCCCCCCGCAGACCGCTAAGCTTCCCACCCCCAAACCAACCACTGCTGAAATCCCATGCCCCCAAAGCACCATGTAGTCACTTGACATCGGGCCTGGGGTGATGAGGTGCCGTACCTGATGCCGGGCGTGTAGTCGCAGCCCAGCAGCATGGCCATGCGGATGAGGTGGCGCCTCCCCAGCCCCAGCTCCCGCCGCACGTCCTCCGCTTTGTACACCTCCACGTACTGCCGCTCGCTGAACAGGTGGCGCCACACGGTGGGCGCGCCGAAGAGCAGCGCGTCGCAGTCGTCGGTGACGACGGCGTGCACGAGGCCCTGGCGGCAGAGGAAGGCGCACTGCGCCTCGGCCTCCACAGGCGCCACCACGTACGGCACGCCAAACAGCTGCAGCAGCTCCTGGGGGACGGCGGAGAGGGGTACACAGGGAGGGATGGAGGGATGGCAGAAAAGGTTGAAGGGTAAAGGAATGACAGAGAGAAGGAAAGGAGGAGGCGGATGTAACAAGGGTGAAAGGGCATCATGCTTGCGTGGTGCTGCCAGCATGGCATCCCACCTGCACCTCTGCCAGCATGGCATCCCACCTGCACCTCTGCCATCATGTCCGAGGTGACTGAAGCAGCATCCCTCTCATTCGCCCTCTTCTGCTGCCTCAGCCGCCTGCCCTCCCTCTCCAGCTGTTCGCTCTCCTCCTCCCACCGCCTCCTCGTCTCCTCCTCGTCCTCCCCCCACTCGCCCTCGTCCATTCGCATGCCCTGCTCCTCCTGCTCCTCCTGCTCCTCCACACCCTCCTCTTGTTCCCTCTGCTGCAACCCACAAAAGCGAAATCAGAATTCAGAAGGAAGCATCAATACGAGCAGCAACCAGTGCACTGCGTGCTGCAGGCAGCTACGGGCGAGTGAGCGCACAGACGAGGAGGAGCAGGCAGGAGAGCACGAGGCGAGGAGGATGAGCAATGGGCAGTGGGCAGTGGGGCGCATGGAAGACACAGGGCAGTGGGGGGCTGTGGCGGCTCACCTCCACTCTTCGCTTCTCCTCCTCCATCTCCTCACGCAGCTTCCTCGCTTCTTCCTCCAGCGCTGCTCTCTCTTCATCCAACTCCTCCCCTCCCCTCTCTCCTCCCTCCACCGCGCCCTCCCCTGCCTGCCGTCTCGTCTCCCCTTCCTCACATCTCCCGTCTCTCCCGTCTCTCCCGTCTCTCCAGTCTCTCCCGTCTCTCCCGGCCTCATTGCTCCCGTCACTTCCTTCTCTCTGCCCCTCGCCTCGCCTTCCCCCCACGTCCTGTAAGCTCCGCCTGATGGCCTCGGCCACCTGCTGCTCCTCCCACGCACCGCCACCCCTGCGTTCAGCAGCAGCAGAGCCCGCAGCGTCGCCACCAGCATGGCTGGGAGCAGATGCCGCTGCAGCAGCAGCGCCCATGGCAGGGGGAGAGGCATGGGCAGGGGCTGGTTGGGGGGTTGGCGGTGTTCCGCTTTGCTTCATCTGCTGCACTGGTGCTTTCTCCCACTCCACGTCAGCTTCCATGTCCACGTCAGCATGGCCTGCCGAACCCTTTCCCTGCACATCCTTCTCTGTAGCACCTCCTCCCTTCACATCCCCTTTGTCTGACCGCCCCTCCTCCTCCACTCCCCCTTCCTCCCACTCCACATCCTCCTCATCCTCCTCCTCCTCACCATCCGTAGCCTTGGCACTCCCACAAGCAGGCATGGCAGCAGGTGCAGGGGCTGGGGCAAGTGCCGCCACAGAACCTGGCGGGTGGTGGGCAGTGCTTGAATCACGCGTTCCACTTCCTGCTCGGATCTTCCCAGCAGCCACCAGCATTGCAAAAAGCTCATCCTCCTCCTCCTGCCCCTCACCCTCTTCCTCCTCTCCCCCCTCCTCTTGCCCCTTGTCCATTTTTCGCCCCCCATATGCTGCATTGTCCGCACTTGAAGCTGCCATTACCCCACCTCCCCTCGTAGCAGCAGCAGCACCAACCGTCCTCTCATCCTCCCACTCCACCTCCTCCTCTTCCTCCCCCTCCCTGCCTTCGCTATGCACCCCCCTACTCTCCCGGCCCTTCTCCCCCCTGCCTTTCTCCTCCTCCCCGCCCGTCCCCTCCTCCACCAGATGCCCGTTCCCCTTGGCCCTCTCCGTCTCCCGCTCGTGCATGAGCACCAGGTTCCACTGCAGGTCGCGCGTCATGCGCACGCCCATGCCCCGCACGCGGCTCACCCGCACCCTGCCCTGCTCATCGCGATACGTCGCGACACTCCCACCCACTGCTGCTCCTCCTGCTGCCTCCCGTTGTGTGGCCTGTGCTGACTCAGCATCATCGGCTGCAGCAGCGCCACTAACAACGCCATCCAAACCACTGCTGCCATGAGGATGGGCAGCCCGAGCATCAGCAGCACCCACTGTGGCAGCAGCATCGCTGTCAGTGGCTGCCTGCACTGCCTCATCTGCCACCATCGCCAGATACGCCTCCTTCCCTGCATCCTCCCCCTCGTCCGCCTCCTCCCTCTGCACCCCACCTCTCCTCCCGTTCACACTGTTCCCCATGAGCCCCTCCAGCCCCAACTCACCATCCCCACCCCCCGCATCCCCTCCAGCTCCCCCATCCCGTGCACCGGCCACAGCGCCCTTTGCCTCTCCAGCGCCCCCCATCACCTGCCCCCCCGCCCTCGCCCTCCCTCCCCCCCAGTCCACCGCCTGCTGCAGAATGGCGGGCAGCCGCAGCCCCTGCACGCCCCCCTGCCCCCTCCCTCCCCCCCATGAGAAATCCCGCAGGCCATCCCTCTCACTAACTCCCCCCCCTCCTCCTCCTCCTCCACCCGTGCCTTCATCTTCCCGCTCTCACCATCCGGCCGGGTCTCCCCCCAAGCTTGTCCTCCCCCCCACCCATGCTCCCAGGCGCCCTTCCCCCTGCCCCTCCCGCGCGGCCCCCTCCCCCGCCTGCTCTGTGCGGGTGCAGCTGACAGTGGTGGCAGGCGCACACCCAATGGCGCAGCACTGAGGCGAGGGGGGAACCAGAAGAAGACGGTGGACGGGAAGAGGGGGGGGAGGGGTAAAAGGACGATTGAGAAAGAAGTATCAGGGGACAGAGGGAGGAAAGAACAAAAACTCCCTTTCATCCGCTCAGGAAGGCGGTGGTTGCCTGCCTGCCCCTACTATGCCTCCAACGAACCCAGAACATCCTCCTCTTTCGTCCCAAGCTCACATCCCCCCACTCACCCACCTGCGGTCCTGAGGCACAGACGACGTGAACACGAACTCCCTGCCCGCCTCCGATGCTATCCGCCCTCCCCCCACGCCCACGCCACCACCCCTGCCCGCCCCTGCTCCCTCCACCCCTGCCGCTCCTCCTGCTGGGCGCGGCACCCCCATGTGTGGCTCTTCCCCTCCTGAAGCTGCACGAGCAGGCAGGGCGGCAGCAGCGGAGGAGGATCCAGGGATAGGAGAGGGAAGGCTGGAAGCAGCGCCAGCAGACGTGCCAGCAGCAGCAGTGGCCGAGGCAGCGACGAAGGCGGTGGCAGCAGCGGAGCGCGCGGAGTCGATCTGGCGGCGCATGGCAGCGGTGCGCAGATAGGCGTCCACCTGCAGCGACGAGAACGCTGCTGGCGCCTGGGGGGGAGGGGGGGGGGGGGGGGGGAAGTATCCGGGAAGAGGGAGGAGTGGTTAGGAGAGGGCGCAATAACATCCAGCGTCTCACGCCCACCCCAAACGATCAGCCCCCAGCAATGCAGACACTCTCGGCTTGCTGCCTCCTCTCCACACATCCTCTCATCACCTCCCGTGCTACCTACCTTGTGTTTCCCCGTGTAATCGACTCCTGCCTCTCCAGTCAACTCTCTCTTCCTCTCTTGCCCCCCGTCGCTGCTATCCCCCTGCCCCTCACCTTGGCAGCCTGCTCGAACTTGTGGCGATTCTCAGCCACCAGCTGCTCGCGCATCTGCACACGTGCAGTAGGGCGGACGGACGAGGGACGAGGGACAGGTCGGGATACAGCGTGGCATGCAGCACGTGGAGAGCAGGGAGTGGAAACTGAGGCCAGCACTGCACGAGGTAGGCACGAGGAGGCAGGGAGAAGAGACATGATCAGCTGCAGCACGCATCTGCACCATCAGCTGCAGCACCCACACCCACCTGCACCATCAGCTGCAGCTGCAGGGAGGGCGGAAGCGACGCCAGCACTGCAGGGTCCAGAGGTGCGCCTCCCCCAGATGATAGCGCTGGCTGGCAGAGGCAGCACCGGGACAGGTGGGGCATGGGTAAGGAAAACAGACTTTTAATCCACGAACAAAAAACGTGTGCGGAGGAACAGCAAGTCCTGGATGAACAGGAACGCATGGAAAGTAGCACATGCGCTGCACGTACTAGGAGAGCCATGGCTTCTTCGCCCAAGTCATCATCATGATCATCATCGTGATCGTGATTGTCCCCATCACTGCCACCGTCTCCTCCCTCCACCCTCACTGCCTCCCTGGCAGCCTCACCACCGCCAGCAGCAGCAGCAGCAGCAGCAGCAGCAGCAGCAGCAGCAGCAGCAGCAGCAACATCACGGGAGGTGCCTGCCACGTCAGGTCCCGCACCTAAGGGGCTCACGCTTTGCCCTGCCCACTCAGCTGCCAGCGATGCTGCCAGGCTGGCACCAACAGAATGAGCACAACGGGCGAGATGTTGAAAGGAATGGCACGGCGAGGAGAGGTGCAGCGAGCAAGCACGTCAGGCTGGGGAAGAAAATAACGAAGAGTAGAAAGGAAGTCAAGGATTTGAAGGCAGGCGTGAGACGTACAGAGCATCAGGGTGTTCCTGCTCCCCCCGCGACCCCTCCTCGCTGTCCCTCCGCTCCTGTGCTGCGCCGTCTCCTTGAACGCCTCTCCCCCCCTCCTCGCCCTCGTGCTTCCTATCGTCCGCCATGTCGTCCATCTTCTCCTTCCCCTTGCCCCGTCCCTGCGCCCCTCCGTCCCCCCTGCGCGCCGCTCTCCCCCTGCCCCGCTGCTGCATGTCCCTCGCCGCCTCCTCCAGCTTGCGCAGCCGCAGCTGACAGCGCCACACCGGGGGCGAGGGGAGCGCATGGAGCGGAGAGGGGGGGAGATGGGTAATGGAGCGGTAAATGCAAGAATCAGTTCAACTCCTTATTGCACTTGCTACCCCTCGCACCACCAGCGCCGTCCCACCTGGTCAACCAGCCAAGTCTCCGCCATCAACTTCTCCTTCCGCCCCCCCCCCCCCCCCCCCCCCCCCCCCCCCCCGGTCACCGTGCTGACCTGGTTGAGCAGCAGCTTCTCCGCGGTCTTCCTCAGGTTGATCTGCGCGTTCTCGCGCTGCCGCCGCCGCGCAATGACGGTGCGCCGCTTCAGCGCGGGCGTGGCGCCGTCGAAGACGACGAGCGGGCGGATGCGCAGGAAGAGCAGCTTGCACAGGCGCCGCAGGAAGCCCAGCAGGTGCGCGCCCTGCACCGCCTCGCCGCGCTCGTCGCGCATCGCCTTCACGAACTGCATTAGCCAGATGCTCGCGTCTGCGCGGGCGGAGGAGGGGAGACGGAGTTACGAGGGATTGAACCGGTCAGACGCTAGCGTGAAAAGTCAAACGCTCGCGTCGTATGGGGAAAGAGGGAGTTACGAGGAATTGACCTAGCCGTTGGCTAACGGAAATCTGGATCCAGAAGAAAGCCGTGACGATCCAGGCGAATCGTCTAGTGTACACGAAGATTATCGCGAAATGAGATTGAACGTCCGTGAACGCAATTGTACTCGCGAATCGTACCAAACAATAACACGCTTGCGCGGAACCTACCGACGGCTACAGTCTTGTTGGCGAGAGCCTCTACGGACACTCGTCGGCCGACAGGCGCCAGCAGCTCCCACAAGCCCTGCACTCCCATGGCGGCACCGCGTCGCGCTCGAACTACTGGAACATACGCGACCTCCTACGCGTCGCGGCTACTAGGAGTGCGAGCAAACAACATATTGATTAGCAGTGACAATAGCTGCAGGGATAAGGCTGAGACGAGGTTGGTTCGCCGTTGAACACGTCGTGCACACTGTGTCAGAAAGATCTCGAAAATAGGAGCCAGGGCGAGAAGCTGAGTCAGGGATAAGGGCCTGTTTACAGATTCATGGCCTTTTCCCCATCTCCTGCTGACAGGAATGGCTGTCAGGGCCAGGAGCAAGCGTGCTTCTGACGCTCACGATGGAGGGAAAAGAGGGGGATGAATTTGTGCTTGCTGCAGTACACTCCGGCTCATTTAGTATGTAATGGCCTGGTTTCAATCGCATGTTCTTGTATTACATTCGAGTCATCCGGTATCGAATAACCACCCTGAAATTGGACGAGTTCACGAGATCCTCGTTTCGTGGCTCACGCGGTCTGGCGAAAGAAAACCAACTCCGGGGGGTGTGTGAAGTGCCGCGCGAATGGACATGGCTCGCTCTCCTTGACTGCCCGTCGCCCAAAATTAGCTGCTCGAAACGCAATCCACCTCGGAGCCGCACCGCCTGGGGATGACGCAAGCAGAAAGGGAGAATGTTTGAGTTCGTTTGAGTTCGTTACGGCTGGGTGAGAGTTGTGAAGGCGAGTGGGGAACACTTGCACGAGCGGGCATTCCCGTCCCGATTCCATCAGTTCGTACTTGCCTTCCGCCATGCTTGCTCGTTCCCTCTCCGTAGTCTGCTCTAGCGCGCGTGATCTCGCTTCCTAATCTCGTTCTAGTTCTAGGCATATTCGAAACTCTAGACCCCTTCTAGACCCCTTCGCACCTGCGCCGTAGGGACGTGTCGCATGGCGCGTGCTTCGCTGATATATGCTGGCGTGCTGACTCTAGCTATAGCCGTGACGATACCGCTTAGCGAATGCGCGGATGCCGCACAGAGGTAGGAATGTTTCTTTCGCTACAAATTGCTGAACGAAGCACGTCGGCTGGTAATTTGACTTTAAAAACTCAACATTTATGGCGTTATTCCTCCTTCCCCTCGATGTCGTGTGGCAGCGTTGTGATAACGCCGTCCACCAGCGCTGTGCGCGCGACCTATCGTAGCTCCATATTCCAGGCTGACGTCAGCATCGTGGTCGACGATAAATCCATTCTCTTCCAGGTAATCCACCAATCCAACGAGCTCCACCGAGCTCCACCGAGCTCCACCGAGCTCCACCGAGCGCCGTAGAGTTCGAATCCATTTGATTGCTGAAACGACCTTCACTAACGGCTTTCTAGATTACGGTTGATTGATTTTGGTTGCGTGATCGTCGATCCTGACTGATCCCCGTGCCTATCCCCGCTGGCCGCGCTGGCAGGCGAGTCCGCCGCCCAACTTCAAGGAGCTCTTCGGCTACACCAACCCCGCCTACGAGTCCTTCCCGCTCCCGCCCGGTCCGTATGCCTCGCGCAGGCGCCATCCCGCCTTGTCCTCGCGCAGGCGCCATCCCGCCTTGTCCTCGCGCAGGCGCCATCCCGCCTTGTCCCGTCCGTGGACGTGGCACACCAAGCCTTACGCGTAACGCTCTCTTACCACCTTCATTACCGTGCCACTGACATGCCACTGCGATCGTCTCTGGCCGTGCTCCGTTACAGGGTCTCCCGCTACCGTGTTCAACCATGTGGGCGTCATGTACAACCCCTTCGGCGCACTGCCGTTCCTCGCCGGTAACTAGCGTGCTGCTCGTCGTTGCGCCTCGTCCATTCCTGCCAACAAGGGAAACAGTGCTTCCCGTCGCTCCCGCTTCCCCTCGCTTTCATCTCGCTCCCATCTCACTCCACCCACACATTCCTTCACCCGCACTCCCGTTTCCCGTCCGCTCCTGTATTCTCCCGAACTCCTCCCTCCGACGGCTTCCTCTCGCCCGGCAGGCCAGGAGGACCCGACGCCAATGAACGGCACGCAGGCGGCGAACGAGACGTGCGTCTCGTGCCACGTGTTCGTCACCTTCTTCCACGCCGACCCCGCCGCCGTCAACGTCACGGGCGCCGGGTGCGCGTTCAACGACAACGGCTTCTGCAGCGTCACCAAGGGCACGCCCATCTTCCAGACGCCGCCCAAGGAGTTCCTGGGCGCCGACTTCGCCACGTCGTCCGGCACCATGTACAAGAGCCGCCCGCTGCTCTCGCCCTTCGGCTCCAAGCTGCTCGCCAAATCCATCCTCACCCCGCTGTGAGCCAAATCCATCCTCACCCCGCTGTGAGCCCCATCCACCCGGCCGCCGTTGCGTGCTCGCTTCTCATTGCCCAATTCTCACCCTCCGCCTCGCATTCCCACGCCCACACCCCGCGCTCTGACCTCGTCCGCCAAGTTCCCCTCGTTCTTCCTCCATTCCGCACATTCTTCCCCATGTTCTTTCCCGCGCATTCCGCACATTCTTCCCCATGTTCTTTCCCGCGCTCCCCTCCCGTTGTGTGCGCAGCGCCGCTCCGCGGCTGGGCATGATATGGACGAGCAGCGTGCAGCCGCCCGCAATCTTCGGGTACGACCAGAAGTACACGCTGGGGCCCACCAACTACTATGCCACCAGCGCCGGACAGGTCAGTGCTGCTGCGCCGGCCGCCCCTGTGCGCCCGTGCACATGCTTGCCGGTGCGGCATGCGTCTCTTCGCCACAGCTGGTTGCTATGTACCGCCCGACTGTCTGATTGGCTCCGCCCTCCATGCTCCCAGTCCCCCCCGTCTGTCTCGCACCAATGCGCTCCATCCCCCTCTCCCCTTCCCCCCCCCCCGCCCTGCACATTCGCTCCATCGCCCTCTCCCCTTTCCCCCCCCCCCGCCCTGCACATTCCCTTCCCCGTCTCCCTTTCACCACGAACCCACTCCATCCCCCACCATGCAGGTGCTGGGAATAGGGCAGGTGGTGAGCACGACGTACTTCGACCTGTACGCCAGCTACTTCACAGCCAACACCGAGACCACCAACACGCCTGTCACGTCCAGCGTCTTTGACCGCCCCACCAAGTACCTGGTGTCGGGGCTGTACCCCTCGGCGGCGTACTCGCAGGTGACAGGGTACCGCGGCATGTCCACCTTCACCTTCGGCTTCACCAACTTCACACAGGCAAGCAAACCGCTGCTCACCAGCCAATCAGCTTCTCTCCTTGCCTTCGGTTAAGGTTTCGGTTATATTTCAGTTGTAACAAAGCAGAAAAGGAAATGGCTAAAGCCCAACGCCCTGCAGGGACCACGTGAACACACGTTATCCTTCGAAACTAAGGTATAGCGGAGGCAGGAAAGTGCCATCTGTTCTGTTGACTTGAGTTGTAAGGGCTGGGAGAGAAGGGGAAGGGGGGGGGGGGGGGAGAGGAGCTAAGGAGGGGGGCGGGGGGGGAGGCGTCGTTGAGGAGCCAGGGTTGGGGAGGGGGCTGGGGGGGTCGTCGTCATCGTCGGGGGGCTAGAGGGGTTCGTTGTTGCAAGGTTTGGGGAGGGAGGGGGTGGGGTGTGTGGGGGGGGGGGGGGGAGGGAGCTAGGGGGGTCGTTGTCGTCGTTGAGGCGTCTCCTTGTCTTCAAAAGCCTTTCCCCAGTCTATTGTGCAATTCGTGTTTTTCTGATCCCTGCATTTCTTTTCCACAATATTGCTGCACTGCCCCCGCCCACTTACACCAGGTGGAGTCATCTGAGGCACCCAGGGACAAGCGGTCGCATCGCATGCAAAGAGGTCTTCCTGCTCTCATGTTGTCTGCACTGCTGGCATTGTTAATGATTTTTCTTATTTGATTTTACTCGTCAAGCGGTTGTATGTCTTGTACATGCCTTTCCATCCTATCATGTGTTAACCCAATTGGGGGATATGGGCAACTCATTGGCCATGAAATGAAAGGTTGCCATGCCATGCCACCTTGAATGGATGTAACCCGAGTCTTCTACTTACAAGGGCTGCTCAGCTTAATAAAGTTGCTATCAAGTAACATGAACATAAGAATTTTTTAACAACATTGTTTATTTTGCTTGAACCATTCGATTCTAGGCTATGTAAATTGTATGTTTTTGTTTGTACAGAAGATTTCAGTGGTTCGGAATATCACCCAATTTGGGCCTAGGGAGTCGGCAGGGACGGCGAATTGGCGGCAGCGCAGTACAGGGCGAAATGTTACCATCCAAAATAGCGTCACACTCTTTTGCGACGCGCCGCCATTCAGTCCTTGACACGCAGCTCTTGTCTCTTTGCGACACAGAAGGAAGCCCTGACACAAGGCCGAAGCGCGCCGTAAACTACAAAAACCGAGTCGCACGAACTGTTTAGGGAGATGAGACACCAGTGTTCAAATTATATAAGTTATAATTTAATATAGGCTTGGTAGGTTGTTACTGAACCTTTCTGTAGGGGGTACAAACCCCTCCTTGTACTCCCCTCTCTTCTAATCCAACTCTCTTTTCTCTCCTCAACTTTCCTAGCACCTAAAACCTCTCGCCATTCTCATGGCTCCTCCTAGCTCCTAGCTAAACCTTGTGCCATTCTATGGCTTCCTAGCTAAGCTGGTCTTTTGACATGGTATCAGAGCAATAACGGCGTCTAAATAAGCTTTGGCCGTTTCAACGGTGAATTTACGTGCTTTATGTGAGAGAGAAATGCAATTAGGGGCTGGTTACACGATTTGTATAATAGCAAGGTCTATTATGATCAGATCCTAATGTTTACCCTATAAAGTTCATAGAAACCCAACCTCTGGGTGGGGACCACTAGTCACCCATCATCGAATTGATGAAACCCTCACCCCCTCCCCCCCTCCCTTCCACAGTACTCCCCACTGACCTGATGGGAGCCACTGTAGCTCAATCCTCGCCGCGTCCCACCCCACCCCACCCAGTCCCCTGCCTCTCGGGGGAGGCACTGTAGCTCAAACCCTCGCCTCCAGCAGCCTTCTCTTGGCGCCAGAGCATTGATGATTGAGCTGCTGAAAGAGACAAGGAAATCATACTCGCCAGACCAAAAACTGTATAGCGGCTGCCAAAGCGGCACAGCCGCTGACCACAGCCGCTCACCACAGCCATTCTTGCATTCAGCCGCATATCAAATTTGAGAGCCAGCCTCTGCCACTGCCGCCCGCAGCCGCGCAGCCGCAGCCTCGTATAAAAAAAGAGAGCCAGTCACAGCAGCTTTTTGTTTTCGATGCGCGACGTCAGGATAGGTTCAGAACCACCGCCCTTTTCGTATTCGATGCGCCACGACATGATA